AGCTGCGGGGAGGGTGGCCGTGGACACTGGCCTTTGCCTGCTGGTGAACCCGCAGAGACGATTCCTGCGAAAGAGGCTCCACCACCAGGGTTTTGTGGTGACACTTGTGTAGGCTTTGACACAGGTGCTTGGGAAGCTGGAGGCCCTGCAGGAGACATCAGGGAACTTGGGGACACGCTCAGCAGCTCTGACTCGTCGGGGTGGACCAATGATGTGTATGCAGATCATGAAGATGCCCGTAAATCCACCCCAAAACTCGGAAGTAATGATGGTTTTGCTTCACTCCCGAAAGAACCGAAAGGTATAAACATGAATTTCCATTTTCCTCATTTTTTAAACAGAGCCACTAATCAGACTCCTGGAAACAACTGTTTTACCGCAGGAGGTGACTTAGATCAAAATGACGGACAGGTTTTGCCCACAGTCTCTGGTGGTGACAGTGGTGTCCAGCTATTCGATGCCAGTCAGAATCACTCTGAAGAACACGCTGCGCTTGGCCAGTCAAACCCCCAAGTCTGCGGTTCGTGGTTTTACCCTCTGGGAGGAAAGCAGCCTGTTCCTGAAGACGCAGGAGCACAGATTCCTGAACCCAAAGGTCTGGGAGGGGTGATAAGTGTACCCCACAACCACGTCGAGATAGATACTGCAGGAGAAAGCAGACGGTACTGGAGTGGTCCAAGGACTTCTTCAGAACCTTCTGGATCGGTAACTGACATTTCCCTGTTAAAGTCATTGTTGGAACATGGTTCGGCTTTAGAAGGCTTGGAAATACTGAGAAAGAAAACTGCCTGCGAACGACAGGGAGCTGCGCAGATGCGTGCGCCCAACAGCAGGCCCGAAGGTGAGGCGGCTTCTCTGCTCTGACAGTCCCTGTAGCCCGAGGGGTGCGAGGCATCTGCCCCGGGGGCCCCGCGCAGGGTCCCATGGTGCAGGAGTGGGTGGCGCAGGTCCTCAGGGAAGCCTCGTGGAGGTGCAGTGCAAGGCGAGTCTCCCTCCGGTCGCGGCCCCTCAGGCCACCCCTCAGGGCCACGCGTCACATGCACACGCAGGCACACAGCACACGCAAGCAGACGTGCTCTTTCACTATGGACCTGTGTCAGGAGGTACTTCTTTCCCGGAGTCACGAGCTCATGGTGATTCTCTCTGAACCCCAGGGTCCCCGCCTCGTCCGTAACTGCTGCTTCGTCCCTGCAGCGCAGGGGCCCTGGCTCCCAGTCCCTCCGTCGCTCAGCGCGTTCGCCTCCTCCGCCTCCAGTGCCCACAGACGGTCTCCAGGTTGTTACACCGGCGTCACTGCCAGCAGAAAACAACTTGTGACATTCACGGACCCTTCGCAGCTTTTTTCCTTTGTTTTAGAATACACCCTACTGCGAGCACGGGGTCGAGTTTCTAAAGTTAACCGGGTTACGCTTTCTCTTGTGTGATCACGTCGTCATTTGATGTGAATACGGTTAAGTCCAGTGATATTTAGAATGAGGGCTTTATGGCCGTCCTCGTTGATTTCTTCTGACCATGTCAGATATTAACCCGGTTAAAGTCAAAGCTAGGTGGAAGTGTACCCTCAGATCCCTCCCTTTCCTGTCTGCCGTAGATAACCAAGATGTCACGCCTGTTATTCTTTTTGCAAAAATAACCAGCTCCATGTATAAGTTCTTCTTGTCCCTTGTAGAACAGAAGACACCGTGCTCTATTCTTGGTCCCTCAACTGCTGTTCTCTAGTGATAGATCCTGGAAGTCACTTCCTGTCTTTCATGGACTCCTCCCCACTTTGTTTACAGCCATAGGATTCCTGTGTGGATGACAGTAGCTATGCAGCCAGGCTCAGGGCTCTGCTGTCACGAATAAGGAATACGGTGGCAGTGAGGCCCCTTCTGTACATCCGTGACACACCAGGCTTTCCGCGTGTTGTTGGAGGTGTGCCTGAGGGCCGGGTAACTGTCTTCATAGACACTTCAAAGCTCCCGTCCAGAAGTTAGCCCCCTTTCCTCCCCAGTACGGGGTGAGCTTGCCTGTTTGTCCACAGCTGTGCCCCAGAGTGCGGGGCCAACCTTCTGAATTTGTGCCAATCTAATAGATGAGAGATGGCATTACAGTGTATTTTAAATTTGTGTTTCCATTACTACAAGCGAAACAGCCTCTTCATATGTTTAAACATCATTTGTGTATCTTTTGTCATGTACTCTCTGTTCTACTCCTTGTCCAGTTTTTTAATGATTTGTTTGAGTTCTACATGTTAGAAATATTAGCCTCTTACCCATGATAAATGTTGCAAATATTTTCTTTCAGTATGTCATTGGTCATTTGACTTTATGGTATTTTGCCAACAATAATTTTGAAAAGAAAAATATAGAACGCGTTAGTGAATGTAGTAAATATTGTGTACACACGAACGTGAATGAACAGTGTACCTTATGATGCTCAAGTTAAAATTGAACTCTTATTTGAATATCTCAAAGGATTCCTCAGGAATGCTTTTTACTAAAATGGTTTTTTAATGTAGTTAAATTTTATGACAATTGTTAATTTTTTAAATTAAAAATAAGGAAAATTAAAAATAAATTGGGGCAGATACATAACGTCACATGAGGATATAAATTTCTACTGTGAAGATTTAAGAAGTGTGGAATCTGGTTCTGGGCATTCTTTTTTTTTCTCATCACTTTGGAAAAGACAGTCACATGTGACCTTGCTGTCTGCAGTAGCTCTGTTCTGTGTGAAGTCACCACGAACACGGAGCCGGTCACCAGTCACCAGTGAGCTGAAGCTTTTAGGGAAATGCAGGGTTGGGCTCTTGCAAACCTCTGGCCAGAACATTCTCCACCAGTCCACACGGAACTGTGTCTTATGTGTATTTCTGTTTAAAGACCCTTATTGATATCGCTGACTCATTAGCATCGAACTCGGGCCAGTGGTTCCTGTGACTCAGGCCATTTGCGTTTTCTCCACAAGGGACGTCACAGCCTCCCTGCCTTCGGCGACACTAGATGGCGCTGCGCGAAGGGCACATTTTAAGTGGCACAGTCACCACCAGAACTTGGCCTCAGACGTGAGGAATGTGGCACCAAGGGGACCTGAAGGGCAGGTTGACAGTGTGAGGGGGACCAGGGGAGTCCCCTCGCCCTGTCCCCGCCTGGGCGTGCCCGTCCGCGTGGCCTCCACCCGGCGTAGCGAGTGGGCCGGGTCTGAAAGACGAGGACCGATGCTCCTGACGGAAACATATTCCTCTAAAGGATCGAGTTGGTTTTCTGGAGACAGTCTCAGGAAATTGAACTTACTGGAATATAACCAATGACTTCACAGAGTTTTATACAGAACTGCAAACTCAGCTTTATTATCAATTTAGGACGTGTGAAAGTGTTAACATTTTCTCCAGCATGTTAAAGCTTTGGCGAGGTGATGGAATTTACCTTAGAAATGTTAATTCAGAATTTTGTTCGTGAGTGAAGGCAGTAAAGGGAAAACATCAATTTTCACCCAGCGCCACCTTTAAGCTCTCTTCTGGAATAACATTAAGTTCCGAAATCCACTTATTTTTGTTTCATTTAATGTGTTCTAAGTTTCTAACAGGAAAATAATGAAAACAGAAATAAACAGATTGGCTAAAAATGAAGTCTATACCAGATACAGCTATGATTTTCTTGTAGTAATAATCACTTTAAAATGATGATCTTCTTGGTGTCTACAGAAGAAATTGAGATTATCGAATATGCACTCTTTCTTTTAAGAAAAAATAGCTTTTTAATCAGATCCCCAGTGAGGTGTGCGGCCTCGCCACCCTCCCTCTGCAGGCCCGCCGCCCGCCGCCCCTCAGTCTGTTGTCCTGCCCTCGCCTGGACACTGAGCCCTGGCGTGGCTGACGCTCTCTTGTCCTCAGGCCTCAGCTTACATGTCACTTCCCGGGAGAGGCCCCTCTGGTCGTCCTTTCTAAAATGACTGCTGTCATATCTCCCACTGATACAGAGCCCTGTGTGTCTCAATCTGAGTTTACCTGGTTTACTTATTTTGGGGGACCTTCCCTCTCGGGAGTCTCGTTTGTCTCGTCCGGCACACTGAGTGTGGAAAACGATTGACGTTTTTCTCAGCAATTATCAGCTTGGCCGCGTCTTAAAATCTGAGTTCTGCTCCTTGTTTCATTCAGTGTTAGAAACATTGAGAACAGCTGAGAGCACTGTTATTAAACATGTGATGAAGAAAGTCATGTGATTCTGTCCGTTACAGCCGGGGAGCCCCTGATGGCGGCAGTTTCACAAGCTAGACCCAAGTCTCCTCTGAACCGGAATCCTCAGCAGGTGCGTTATTTTTCCTATCAGGATATTCTTTTATTCGATATAGAATGTCCTGTGATTTGCAATGAGGTTATAATAACAGAGGGTCACGAGCCATATAGGTTCGTGGCCTCACCTTGCTCTCATATTTTCTTTGCGTCCCTCAGCCAGAAGGAACACCTGGCAGCGCCCACTTACTACATAGTCGGTGGAAGTGAGCAGCTCCAGTTTTATGTCCTAGTAGCATAGTAGGCGTTCTGTTTTTATTGGTCCCAGGTTCATTGAGATACAATTGACGTATCACATTGAGTTAGTTTAAGAAATTTCAACGTGATATGATTCATGTATATCCTGTGAATGGGTCCCATAAGCATTTAATTTTTAAATAGACAGTTACGGAATGTGTGCACAGGGACACTGCACAGCTTCTCAGACCTCGGAGTGGGTTAGCTTTCTCGTGCCACGTTGATTTTCATGTGTTAATTGACTTTTCTCCTAGCAGTTTCCCAAAGCCCAGCTTCGCAAAGATACGATGTCATGGAATGAAATGCCATGAGATCCGAACTGCCTTGACCTAGTAGTTTGTTAGGTATCTGACAGATGTCGGGGGACAATGCTTCCTTCAGCTTAAAACATGTCATGGGCCCCGGTGTTTGCTGTGGCACCCACGGTGCCTTGTGGTGCAGTTTGTGGTATTAACACAAAGTGACGGCGTTACCAGGATGCACTGAAATTTAGAGTAAGTCATCTAGGTTAGTGTTTCTCAAGGGGGCGCTTCGCATTTTTGGAGGGACACTTTCATTATATGTCTCATTTGCCCCCATTTCTATCTTACTCTAGTTTCCATGTTACTGGTCTTTTTTTTTTTTTTTTTAAGAATCTTTTTTTCCACCCCTTTTTTAAATATAGAAAAAGGTGAAGAAAAAAAAACTTACTCTACCACTCAGAGATGAGATAATTTTAACATTTCCAGCTTTTTTTTTTTAAAAGCCTATTTTGTAAAATATGGTAAGAGCAATATGTACAAATAGTTTTATTTCCTTTCCCCTTAATGCCATGTTGTATTTTCTCACATTATTAAAACTTACCATAAATATCTTTTAAAGGATCCTTACCATTTCATCCTGTGGTTATCCTATGCTTTGGACAAAAGTTCACTATTTTTAAACATTTAGATTAATTTCAGCATTTTGCTATGTAAATAAAACTTTAGTAAATGTTTTTACACATAAATCATTGTTTACATTTTAAGTTATTTTCTTAGATTTTACTCCCAGAAGTGGAACTGATAACTGGAAAGGCTAAGAACAGCTTTCTGAGGTTCTTGGTGTACATTGTCAAGTCTAAAGATCTTACTGTTTTATAACATGAATACTTCTTTTGCTTCATGTTCACCAGTGCTATTCAGGTCTTTTGAAATTCTCGCAAAGTGAACATGGTGTTTAATCAACACTTAGTTTTTGTCTTTGATTGTTAGTTGTGGTGTTCTGGTATTTACGTCTAGTAGGAATTCACGTTTTGTTTTGTAAGTTGCCTTTCCCTGTGGTTTATCTTAATTTAGTGCCCGGCTCCTGTGATGCCAAAAGAAAATGAAGCCGAACCACGTGAGTCCCTTTCATTTCTGCAGGTGAGTTAACTTTCAAAATGTCAAGTAGCCGGAAGTTGTATGTGTATAGCGAAGTATGGCATATAATTTTATGTTTGCATTTTATATTGCCCGTTTTCAAACTCATTTGTAATTAGTTAACCCATTATATGTATTTAGATGAACCTGCTTTCTTTTGTATAAATGTCCTATGTGGTCTATAGGATTTGGTAAATAACAAACCTTTTAGCATAAAGCTAATTTTGCAGATTTGCAAGCATTACCTAATCCAAGAATTGTCGTTGACAGTGACAGCTGGGCTTGCGCCTCTGTTGCCTAAAACAAAACAAGACAAAACCCCTGTAGTGACTCAAGCATTTATCACCCTTATGTAGCAAGATCAAATATATAAACTCATAAACTGTCAGCAGCTGCATAATTTAGCTTACAAATGATCACATTCGTACTGTTTTTTTGTTTGAAAAAATAGGATTTGAACATTTTCAAGGACAATTATCACAAAGTATAAACAGCAAATAAACACTCGTTCCTTCCGGAATGAGTTGCCACTTGAAGTCGATGTCACATATTTTTTAAAAATTTGTGGTAATCTCACAGTAACGGAACAGGTCTCATGGTCTTGCAAAACAACCACTTTAATCTTTTCAGCATTAACACGGGGGCGCGTTTGTGTTTCGTGATGGCTTACGACATCTCTCTGCAACGACCTCATGAATATCAGTGACAGGAGGAGCTCTCACCACTTAAAGTCTGGGTGCTCTTTGAGGGGGCATTAATGCCACCTTCACCTTAGTTCTGTGAGTACAGTCTCCGCACACAGGAAAGGAGCTGCTCCAGCAGAGAAGGTACTACGCTGATGAATCTTTAAAACTCACTGTAGTAGGAAATTCTAATTTTAAAATACGAGTTGAATGATATGCATGTGTTCGAAACAGTATCTGTTTAAAACATATTTTTAAAATTTTTTCCTTTTATTTTGTAATGTACATAGAAAATAAGGACGCAGACCGTAAGTGCACAGCTCAGTAATTACCAGAAAGTGAACTCCACCACTGGGGACAGAGGGTCCACAGCCCCCGGAAGCACCCCCTCCGGTCGTTACCCGCCCCATTCTCTCCCAAGAGAGCCCCCGTCTTGGCTTCTAATACCATGTATTTGTTTCGCTTTTAAAATTTTATTTTATGGTCTGATACACAGTGTGTTTTTTGTGTCTTTTGTTCGACATCATCCACGTTGCAGCCCGAGGCTGTGTCCGGCCATCCTCGTGGCTGGCGTGGCGTCGCAGTGTGTGAACGCACCCCAGCTTGTGCATGCTGCAGCTCGGGTTGTCTGTGTTCGGGGCGGTTACCGACAGTGCTGCTGCAGGTCGTGTGCTGTGACGAGCACGTGCACGTGCGACACGCTCTGCTCACCGTGCAAGCTGCCACCCAGCAGTGGAGCCGCCTGTGTTCACGCCGAGGCCCTCCGGCCAGACTGCTTCCCCGTGTCGTCGAGCTCACAGCGCCCCTGCCCCCCACCCCTTCACGCGTGCCTGCTGCTGACATTGCGTTTTGAACTTAGTTATTCTGGTGGGTGCGGGTGGGAGCTTGGTGGCGTGTCCTCGTGTTTCGTGCGCATTTCCCACCCAGCAGTGAGGCCGGGCTCTTGCCGTGCGCCTCTTCAGTCACGTGGCTGTTCGGCTTCGTGCTAGGCTTCTAACTGATGGGTGTATTTTTTATTGATTTCTAGAATTCTTTATATATCTTGGATACATGCACTTACTCATTGTTGGTTGTGTATGTTGCACGTATCTTCCCGACCTTGACATCTGCATAATGCCTTTCGATGAATGCAAGTTTATAGTTTTTGACGTGATACAGTTCATCTGCTGTTTCCTTTGTGACTAGTGCTTCCATGTCTTGTTTGAGAATTCTCTCTCTACCCCAAGGTCCTGAAGATATTCTCTCATTACCTTGGAGACGGTTTACCACTTCGCCTTTCGTATTTTCATCTACCGTTCACCTGCGATTGATTTCTGTGTATTGAGGTACAGATGGGAGTTTCACATTTTTTCCATAGGGACATCCAGGTGGCCTAGCACCACTTACTGAAAAAGCTCTTTTCTCAATTCCTTTTTATTGCCCCCTTTGCCATAAATCAGGTGTCCATGTATTTGGGGGTCTGTTTGTGCTTTCTGTTCTGGTTCGTTGGGCTGTGGTTTTGGAAGTTTCTATATCTTACAAAGGGTGTGTTCACGTGACTTTAGATCCTCCCACTTGTTCTTGCCTTTTTGCCTTTGCACATACATTTAGAATTAGCCAAACGGTTTCCACACACGAACGTGCTGGGAATGGGGCTGGAATGCCATTGTGAGCACAGATCGTGGCAAGAACTGACATTTGCGCAGTGTTTTATTGATGCGTTCTCCGCATTGTAGTGACGTGTTCCTCACCCCCCCCCCATCTTCTCATTCCCCCAGTAATGGTTCGGGTTGTCACAGCGTAGAGACTAGAGGTTGCAGTAGGTGGGCGAGCAAGGCTGGCCAGAGCGCCACCCTCCGCAGCCGGAAGCCCGTGTGGGGCCTCGACTCCAGAGCAGCTCGCTGGCTGCAAGGGCGGGCGCTGCACCCTTACGTAGGGCCTAGAGCACCCGGCGTGCGGTCAGCCCCCCCTGCAGGCTTCCAGGGGGGTCAGCGCCCTCCTAGCAGGGTCAGCACCCTCCCAGCGGGGTCAGCACCCTCCCAGCGGGGGTCAGCACCCTCCCAGCTGCAGCGGGCTGGGTAGGGGGCCGGCTGGGTGCACGTTGGGAAGACCCGCGTGCCGTCGGCCTGAGCCGTCCGTGCGTGTTGTCCAGCGGTCGGCTGTATTTGTTTGGCTCGTAGGAGCTCTTGCGTGGAGATGTGAAATGCCGTCACAGGTACGGCATTCCTGAC